TAAAAGGAACTCTATGGGTTTAAATAAAAGGTCTAGGAACCAAAGAGGACCAAAGGGATAAGTTCCAAGAGAGAAAGCCCTAATGAGGTAAGGCCCGATTTCAGTTGTTCTAGAGCCAAAGGAAAGCCCGTGATCGTCTGCTAAGTTTAGGGTGCGGTAAGAGCCTACAAGTAGGTGGCTTACTGAGTATAATTTTTATACTCATTCCCTTTATACTTTTTTTTCAGGTACGTGAGGCGTCGAGTCAAGAGAGGGCGCGTCGATCGATGTGGGTTGTCACAGAGGAAGCGTGTCCCGGGGCGTCAGTCTAGTTTACTAAATAGTACACTTTGTCTCACATGTTCCTTTCCTTGTTTTTCTTTTACCTAGGCACTTATGTCCTTCTAATAAAGATATGTTTTTCTTTTGAAACAAATGATTTCCTTGAATTTCTCGTTTATGCATTACATGTCATACAATGTTAGTCACGGCTTAATTTGGGGTCGTGACACTCCAAGTTCTCGAAATCCAGACGGATTATTCATGAAAAATGTTAATCTGATCGTACAACCATAATTCATAGTTCTTGAACTTTCATGCTTAGATTTAACAAATCATTTAGAGTACTTAAACTTTCAAATTCTGTTTTTCTGTAACTTTTTACTAGTTGAATCTCTGCAAGTTCTCGAAATCCAAACTGACTATTCATGAAAAATGTTAATCTGATCGTACAAACATATGTTGTTTGAACTTTCCTGCTTAGATTTTACAGGTCATTGAGAGTACTTAAACTTTCAAATTTTGTTCTAATAGGTCTGTGAATTTAGATTCGGATCTTTTAATTTTGTGTCTAATAAGTCTACGGTGTATTCAACCTGCTCACGAATTATAAAAATTTGACCTATTCAACAAAAAGTAAAAATTTAGAAACTTGTTAGACATAGAATTTAAAATTTTAGGGACGATCAATTTACACTTTTCATAGCTGAGAAACTAATGGAATTGACGAACACTTAGCATATCTTTGTTTCAGTTTGGACCTTGGAATTGAAGATATTATGTAATGAAAGCTTGCATTTAGGCTCTTCTCCTATAGACAGCCAGTAAACTTGATACTCATCCAAACTATATTATGCTTGCTCAATTTAGCAACTGTGACCATTTCTTTCTCGTTAGAGATTCTATATTGGTTGAAGAGAGGAACTAAGCATTCTTTAGAAGGGTATAGAAACCTCTCTCTAATCGACACATTTTAAAATCGTGAGGGCTATTACAACTAGTATCAGAGCCAGACACTGGGTGGTGTGCCAGCGAGGACGTTGGGCCCGTAGGGGAGTGGATTATGAGATCCTACATCGGTTGGAGAGGGGAACGAAGCATTTCTTATAAGGGTGTGGAAACCTCCCTCTAATAGACTCGTTTTAAAACCATAAGGCTGATAACGATACATAACGAATCCATATCTATTAGTGGTGGGATTTGGCTGTTACACATTTACATTGTTATTTAATACTTGAAATCTTGTATTTAACAGGGTTTCGTCTATCGAGTTTCTTCGAGTCATAGGTCGAGGAAGGGAAGCGTTCTTTTGGTTGATTTTGGAGACGATTTTTATGACTGGCATCATGAAACCAACAAATATGATATCAGTTTCACCTTCAACAGAGTTTGTTTAAAAAGAGCTCACCAAGCCATACAAGAAGCATCTGATTCTTTGTTCCACAATTTCCTTTTCCCTGAATCCATGTCAAGAACAAGACATCCCTCCATTCAAGTTACACATTCTACCCATCAATGTCTTGATCCTGCTCAAAAAAATGCAGTCCATCACATTTTGAACCTTCATGGCTCACCACCTTATCTGATCAACGGTCCACCGTGCATTCACGTCAACGACCGAGCCCGGAATCGAACGTTCGAGCTTTCGAGAACAGGCACAATCGTTAAAGAAGCAGTGATTCAGATTTACTCAACCTCTCCTAATTGCAGAATCCTAATCTGTGCTCCTAAAAACTCAACATGTGATGAGCTGATGATATCTTTGAAGAAGGTGATTCCCGAGTCCAACATGTTTCGTGCTATCGCCGCTTTTCGAGAGCGAGACGATGTACCATACGACATATTGTCTTCGTGTTATTACAACGAGGACGAGCAGTGTTTCAGTTCTCCAATACTCGACAAGCTCCGCGAATACAAGATTATATTCTCGACGTACATGAGTAGCTTCCGACTACATGCTAAAGGCTTGGCTGCTGGACATTTCAACCATATTTTCTTGCTCGATGCATCGGCAGCTATCGAGCCAGAGACGTTGGTGCCTTTGACTAAGTTTGCTACAAATGCAACCAGTGTTATAGTTACTGGACAGACAGGGAACCAACCTAATGTTCGGTCAACAATCGGTCGAAGAAATGGATTGAAGACATCATATTTTGAAAGACTTGAGCTAAGCTTGCCATATATAGACCTTAATCCTCTATTCATTTCAGGCTTAGAGGAACAGACAGGAAGTAATGGCGAAGTTGTTGGGTTGACCGGTACATATATGTATTAACATACCATATTTTATAATATATATATATATATATATATATATATATATGTATGTAACGACCTAGGCCCACCGCTAGCAGATATTGTCCTCTTTGGGCTTTCCCATTCGGGCTTTCTCTCAAGACTTTAAAACGCGTTTGTTATGGGAAGGTTCCACACCCTTATAAATGGTGGTTTATTCTCCTCCCCAACCGATGTTGGACATCACAATCTACCCTCTTTCAGATTTTCCCTCAAGGCTTCAAAACACGTATGTTAGGGGAAGGTTTCACACCCTTATAAATGGTGATTTGTTCTCCTCCCCAACCAATGTGGGATATCACAATCCACCCCCTTCGGGGTCCAACGTCCTCGCTGGTACTCTTTCCTTCCTCCAATCGATGTGGGACTATCCCAAATCCACTCCCTTTGGGGCCAGTGTCCTTACTGGCACACCGCCTCGTGTCTACCCCCTTCGGAGAATAGCGAGAAGGCTGACACATCATCCGGTGTCTGGCTCTAATACTATTTGTAACAACTCAAATCCACTGCAAACAAATATTGTCCTTTTCGGGCTTTCCCTTTCGGGCTTCCCCTCAATGCTTTAAAACCGTCTGCTAGGGGAAGGTTTCCACCTCTTATACTGATTTGTTCTCCTCCCTAAACAATGTAGGACATCACTATATATATAGGATGTTAATTTTCAAAAATATTTTTTTAATTTTAAAAAGTTTCATTAATACCCTTCAACTTTGGTAATAAGCTAAAAAAAATGAGTTAATATTATGTTTAAAAAATACCCATACAATTTTAAAAGTATTATTAACTTCTTTTAACCTTGGTAAACAAATATAAAAAATTCTTAAATTCAATCTATCAATTATGGATGGAAACATCTATCTATCGATACCTCATAAATTATCTCTAAACTATTCAAGATTACTTTTGAAACTTCATAAATACTTTTTAAAACCGGGTACAATTTTTAAATTTTTTTAAAAAGTTTATATGTATTCTAAAAAAAAAAAAAAAGTCTAATTTAAAGTATTTATTTAATAGATTTTAAACTAGCATGATTTTTTTATGGACAATCTTGAATACCTAACATTTTTAATTTTAAATATTACGTGAATATTTAAAATAATAATAAAAGGAATTTTTAAACTTATTTTTAAGAGATTTTAAAATAAATAAATAATTAATTAAAGGATTAAAAATGTAATTATTCTTAAATTCTTTAATTTGTTCCAAGTGTTTCATTTTATGTGGTTTTAAGCCATATTTGATAAAATTCCATAACTCAAAAAAGAAAATAAAAATAAAAAAAAAATAAAAAAAATAAAACCTTTTTTATTTAAAATATTCAACTTTAACTTGTCTGTGATTGTCGTTTATAGGAGAATCTTGACCGTCTATTTAATAGAAATATTTTTTTAATTATTATTTGTCAAAATGAAGTAGACGATAATATTCAAAATAAACTTTTCTAAAAATTTGTCATATTTTCAATAAAATTTTAAAAATTTTATCAAATAATTTAGATTAAATAAAATAATTTTCATTTAATTCCTATAAATTTTAAATAATTTCTTATTATATATTTGAAATTTTAACTTAGATTAACTCCTACATTTGAATTTTCTAAAAGCATTGATTTTTTATTTTACAGATAATATATCATTATGTCTAAGCTTAAGAATAAAATTTATATAATAATTATTTTATTTTTTTTATTTGATTCTTTTCTCTCCCCCTTCACTGCATAAATATATTCCATAATTTTTTTTTCTTTTTAAAACTTTCGAAATTATTTCATTAAAAATAAATTAAAAGAAGTGAACTCGAAAAACAACCGTAAAAATTCGAGAGTAACTCTTTTTTATCCTTAATAGGTCGACTGTAATGTCCCACATTGGTTAGGGAGGAAAACAAAACACCCTTCCCCTACTTGGAGCAAACGCATTTTAAAGCCTTCAAGAGAAGCTCAAAGAAGACAATATCCATTGAATCTGGATCGTTACATCGACAATGTATTGATTGAAATTTGCGTTTCATAATATCATAATCTTTTTTTTGGGCAAAAAGCTTTGATGCTTATGGGCATGCCCTTCACCCATTCCTCCTCTTCTACCATTCCAATATTTTTTTTTAGAATATCTTCTCACATATTCCAACACATTAATCCTTTTTTCATAAAAGAATAAATAAATAAATAAAGAATAATGAATAAAAACAGCATATATCTATATATATATATATATAGTTTTTTTTTTTTTTTAATTTGCTTCATCCCCATTTGATTTTTATATTTCTCGTGACACGATCGTGTTATCAACTTGACTTAAACATTATCTCCACCAATTAGTACGAGTTATTTTAGCATGTTTTGTCTTCACTCACATGCATCCTAAAAAAAATTTCTAAAAGGTTGACTAGTAAACTGAACCAAATGGTCAGTTTTCCAAAAATTAACCCAACCCAAATAAAAAAAGATAGGACCCAACTCAATTTTGAGATCGCGTAGTCTGGGTTGGTCGGATTATTATGTTATATGAACACCCTATTTAGAGTAACGTATAGGTCCATGGCTTGTGTCCAACTTGCTAATGTTAATTTTTGGTTTAGGTGAGATTTGAGTATTTAACAAGCAAAGCCACGAGAGCTTATGCTCAAAGTGGAAAATATCATACCATTGTGAAGACTCGTGTTCGTCTAACATGGTATCAGAGTCATGCCCTAAACATAGTCGTGCCAATAGATTGGCAAATCCTCGAATGTCGAACATACGACTCCAAAAAGAAAAAAGAGTTAAGCCTCCTCGAAGGCCGTAAAAAATGACTAAGACTCCAAAAAAGTCGAACCTCGATTAAAGGGAGGCGTATTTTGTTCGAGGGGAGGTGTTGGATAAAAGTATCTCACACTGGGTTTATTAATATTGATTGTGGTATATTTATATTGCTTTATTATCTTTATATTTAATGAGATTGTATGCATTTATAAATTAATGTTATTAATATCTTACTAATTAAATTATAAATCCAATCATAATTTAGATGTAATTTCTTCATTTATTTAGAAACATCAAAATTGTGAGAAAATAAGTACAATTTTAAGATATAATTTATAATAATTTTTATATTTCATAAAAAATTATTTAATTTTTAAAGTTATAAAAATATAAAATAAATATTTAAAAGAATGGTACTATTTTCAATAAATTTTAAAATCACTATTTCTTTATTTTTTTAAATATTATATTTTTTAAAAATATCATCGAATAATCTTGGAAAGGGAATGGGGTTGGGATTTGGGACCCACCGTTATATATTTTTTAGAAAATAAATATAAAGATTCAAAAGAATATAAATATTATAAATATTAATCGTAACGCTAACTAACGGTTAGTATAAATATTACGGAATTTTCGTTCTTCCGCGTGTTCGCTCTTTCTTCTCCGCCATTCATTGCTTCATTCCTTCGTCTTCTTAACGTATAGAAGTTGCAGAAAAACAAGGAACCGACATAGGATTTTGCTTTCTTTCCTTCTCTCCCACTCCCCTTCGACGGTATGTTTCTCTTTTGATCTCTTCATGAACCTGCATTTTTCATTCTTTGATTCGATTTCGTGTTTTGTGATTGCTGTTTTTGTGTTCCGGTCTCTGCTTGTCTTCTCCTGTTTCTTTGCGTGTGATTTTCTGGATTTTGTTCTGATTTCGAACTAGCCTGCCGGCGAGCTATTTGCTAGTTTTCACCCTCATTTTGATTGTTGTTCTGGTATTTCCTTCCGGCCGGGTTGAAGTCCGATGATCGGATTTCCTCATTGTCGATTTTTTTTTAAATTTTTGAAGATTCTATAGCAATGCAATGAAATGAGATATTGTCTGAGGTTGAATATAGGGTAGTTTGGAGGAACGCCGATTTTAGGACGCGGTATGCGTTTTTAGAGAGGAACGATTCATTTTTCTTTTTGTTAATAGTTAGTATACCAGAACCAGCGCCGCATTGTGGAAAATTCAATGCTCTTCCTCCGATTTGACCGTCTGTGTATGTACTGTAGAAAGAGAGTCACCGAGTGTTTGTCTACTGAGAATTATTGAACGAATTAGTATCCAAATTTCGAATGTGAAAAGATTAAATTGACTTGTTTAGAGTGTGAGGACTGGATTTCTTCTGAATTACTTCGAATATTGAGACCTGTTTCACATTTTTTTACCGAGTTTGAAAGTTCAACGGGCATGTTTTGTTCACGACCAAGTCAGCCTGGGATTATGACTCGTGATGTGAATCGTACGTCTTTTACCTGCTGTTATTCCAGACCTCGAGTAGATCTATCTTTTGAGTTTGAGGTTGGCGTAGTTGATCCGGGCGGTTCATGCTCTGTTTAGCAAATCAATCCGTTTACTTGGATTGGATATTATTGGGTGTGTTTGTTTTCTGGTTCACTTTTTTTTATCCTGAGCATATTATTATATGGACGGCAACGCATAAAATGACAAATCCTTATCAATGGTCTCATCTTCCTTCTGAAGATGGGGGGCCTGTTTTTTCTGGAGTTGTGTCGCTATCCTCACCGAGTTCTTTGGCTGGAGCTCACAACACGTGGCGTCAACTAATTCTTTTTCCCTCCTTTTTGGGGTTTCCCAGTTCCTAGTTTAAAAGTATAGTGTTATTTAATCGTGTTACTTAGCCATGTGAGATTAATGTTCTAATTTGCTGGAGACGTGTTTTTCTGTTGTTTCAGGAACGTGCGTGGGTGGGAACGGAAAGAGGACTTGACCAAAACCCACATTTTCTGGGAAACTTCTTGGACGGTTTGGTTTGAGGATAAATGACATCGGCTATCAAAGTAGTTGACAGCCCGATTTTATTGAATTGAACAGTTTCAAAGATCCATCCGAAGATCATCTTTCTCGTGCCCATTAACTTTCAGTAATCTCCTAGAAAGGTCTCGCTTTCTGGGCGTGTTCATCTTAGATTGCTCGACTCTTGATTTTTGCCTCATGATCTTTCGGAGTAATCTGCAATTGGCATGAGACATTTTGATCTGTGTCTTGGATATGGGTTCCTTGTCCGGAATCCTTCAACGACCATTCGTCGCTGTAACTGCTGTGGCTGTGGCATCTTTTTCCTCTGACTTTTCAGACAAGTTACCGTCTCAGAGACCCCCAGAGGCTTCTTTTTCTTTTCCTCCTTCTTCCTCAGAATCAATTTTGGATTTCTTGAAGGAATCAAGGACGTCATTTGTTTCCCATACTCCTGTTTCAAAACTTGCATACTTATCATTTGTTACTAAAATTCATGCACCTATCCCTAAATGTAGCTTTCCGATTCCAAATTCCAGTTGCAACTATGTTGGAAACTTCCGCACGTCTTTGGCTTCCTCCTCCGTTCTCTCTAATTTATATCAGTCAGCTGCATTGACCAAGGCATCAAAGCAGGCTGCACCTTCACGTAATCTTTCTTTCCCACCTTCTGAGGTTATGTACAGATGGCATTTACCGGAGCCAACGTCGGTAGATATTACGGGTAGTTCTGCTTGTTCAGTGGCAAAATCTAGGACGGTGGTGGTTTTATTAGGATGGTTGGGAGCAAAGCAGAAACATTTAAATAGATACGCCGAATGGTATACTTCCAGGGGTTTTCATGCCATTACCTTTACTTTTCCAATGGCTGAGATACTTGCGTATCAGCTTGGTGGGAAAGTTGAACAGCACATTGACTTGCTTGTGAACCATCTAGCTGATTGGTTGGAAGAGGAGCACGGGAAGAACCTGGTGTTTCACACTTTTAGCAATACTGGATGGTTAACGTACGTTTTTCTCCCTCTTCATTGAAAATGCACGCAGAATGAAAGTTTGTTCATTTTCCTATTTTGCTGGGAGTTGGTAATGGGGATTTTTGCACTTCACATTTAGCACCTTGGGCTTTTCTTGAACCAATGTCTTTACGTGATTGTTCCCTTGGACTTATCTCGATGCAGGTATGGAGCAATTCTGGAGAAGTTTCAGAATCATGATTCTTCTTTATTGGGAAGGATTAAGGGCTGCATTGTTGATTCTGCTCCTTTTGCAGCTCCTGATCCTCAGGTAATGGCAGCCTTGAAATGAAATTCTTCTTCTTTGTCAACGAGGCAGTCATCAATATTAGAAGATATACAGTTACTATTGCACCATGTTGACGCCATTTCCCTTATTCAAAAAATTGGTGCTTGCTGTATGTATTAACCTTGTACTGTAAACTATGCTTTGATTTAAAGTAAAAATAAGATCACTGAATTGGGTATTCTCCACCGTCGATTTATCAGGTTTCATATGGGAAAAAGACTCAAGTGGCCCTTTTTCCTTGCATATCATGTATATTTAAAATTATGGATAAGGACAAATTTTTGTTTATTCAATTATTATTTTCTCTGTGAATTTAAAGTAACGTTTGTTGTAGGTTCTCACAGCTCTTTTATTTATCTTGCACCTTATTTTTGCTTGTAATAGGTCAATTTACATTCAAGGACTTTCTCTTTTAGTAAGGATTGATGGTGATCTGTGTTTCTATCTGAGTTTATTTTTTTTAACAACTATGAGGGAAAGTATTTGTTAAATCTTGTTATTGCTTTTCTAGGTCTGGGCTTCAGGCTTCTCTGCAGCCTTTTTGAAAAAGAACAGTGTGGCAACAAAAGGATTGACAACCTTGGACAACACAGGGATGGAAATATCAATCAGCAATAAAGAAAATATAGAACCTAAACCTGCAGTTACCGAAGCAGCACTTCTATTAGTTTTGGAAAAGATCTTCGGCTTCGTTTTGAAACTACCTACAGTGAACAGGTAGTTTCCCTTTTAAATGCGATTGTTATAACTAATATTATTTTTATTAGAAACAATTTTATTAATGTATGAAATTTACAGAAGGGATAGATAATCTATGATGATTACAGAAGGCTTTCCCAATTGAATAAAAGGGAAGCAAACTATATAAAGCAAAGATGCTAGACAATTTAGCCCAGAGAGAATTCTTAGGATAGTGCTTTCTATTTTTGGCAGCCATAATACGGTGGAAAAAGCTTTTCGTACATTAATTTCTTCCCTAGCAGCCAAAGATAATAGCTCAGCTATCATTTGCTTTCTTTATATCTGTTGAACCAAGGGAATGGGGTCAGATTCCTCAAGGTTGTCAATAATAGAAATTACCTTCAAAACCTGGTTTCTTTGAGGTGAGTTTGCAGCCAAAAAATGTCTTTAATCCACGGTTTGATCATTTCCTTCATCCCTTTGAGTTTCATGATAAGACCATATGTCTTTCCACCAATACTCAGGAGTAGAGGAAGGACAAATAAAAAAGTTCTTGCCAAAAACTAGGTCTCTTCCAGAATCTTCAAAGGCCACAAACCCCTGAAATCCAAAACTTAAACCCATCAGCATGAATGAAGAGGGTGGTTAAAGTGTACCGGCCTTTGGTGATATCAAAGATGGATAGAGTAGAGTCGTTCCACATCATGAAGATACCCTTGACAAACCATTAGCATCCAAAGTAGTCCAGCTAATGTTCCTTTCTTGTAGGTAATTTTCTCAACCAAAATGTTATGTTCAACGAACCTCTCTTCTTTGAAGAATTTCTGGTTTAGAGAAGCGGAGACAATGGTTTTGAAGATAGTAACCAGCCAATGCAATGATTCCCAGGGTAGTGTGACAAAGAAGGCTCTATCTCTTATAGACTTTGTAATCTTCAATCTTGTGCCTCTATAAATGGAATTGACTTCAATTGAGTGGCAGATCCCTTCTTTAGGGGTCGGTAGTTGGTTTTCTGGTTGTCGAGAGAGTGTCGGGCTGGTGGTAGATAGTCGGTGGAAGATGGGGGTGTAGAGGGGTTGGTCCTTCCTGTAATGGCACCTTCCTTTTGCTGCCACTACTACCAGTATATTACAAGATAGAGCAGATGCAAGAAAAATTTGGAAAATATTGAACTCTAAAATTATATAGGATGGTCATTAACAAGAGACAGTGCATAAATATGATTAATTTCATATCCATTTACAACTGTGCCTTGTTTAGATTTGTAACTACAGTTTATGTGCAAGTTTAGTTCATAGACCTGTCCATGAAATCTAAAAGACGAAAATTGTTATATTTTCCTACCAGGAGGCTCTCTGATGTGTTGAACACATTATCGTCGTCACAACCAAGCTGCCCTCAACTGTATATCTACAGCTCAGCAGATCGAGTTATCCCAGCAGATTCCGTGGAATCATTTATAGAGGAGCAACGACGCGCAGGACATGAGGTTAGAGCTTGTAATTTTGTGTCCACCCCTCATGTAGATCATTTTAGGAATGACCCAAAATTGTATACTTCTCAGCTTAGTCAGTTCCTGGCCGATTGCTTGTTTACCTCTTGTTGTAGAGAGTCCTGTTAGCTCAATGAGTTCGTTGCTCACCATTTTACCCCATCTTCTTTTTATACAACATTGTTTGTTCTCACAAACCAGTGAGGGCAAACAGAAGCCTAAAATTCATTGGTTTATAATATAGATCAAAGTTCTTTTGTATTTATGGGGTGTTGATCATGCTCGGCTTGTGCTGTTGAACGAGCACGAGAGGGGTGCATGCGTATAACATAAACAATAGTCACCCCATGATTCTAAAAATTTGAGTGACTATAAATTTGGAGAAGCTAACACCAAACATACACATAATATATATCAACTTACATTGATACTAATTGAAATTTGTACAAATTGAGACAAATGTGTCTATCTAGCTTTCCTTGGCTCCATTAAGTAAATCCTAGGAAGCACAAGGAAACCGAAAGGAATAGAATAGAAAAGAAAACACTTCTGCTAAACATATTCTTCCAAGTTCCAAACATAACTAGCAGTTAGTCTTCCACTCATGCGAGATAGCTTGTTGAAGAAATCTGAATGTTTTTTGGAAATTTTGGAACCCCATGAACCAGAAATCAAAATTATCCACCGTTACTATCTCCAAGTATTTCTGTGAAGGCTTCATCACATTCTTACTTTGGTTCACTCTCTCTATCCTCCCCATTGGAATCACTACCTGCACCAACATCACAACCAGTTTAGTAAACCTCTAACTCGAGACAACTTTACGTTCGAAAGAAAATTTTAACCATAACTTTTTTTGACCTAAGACGGGTTTGTTCCCTTTTCGAACATGACTTTACTAATAATTAGTTGGTCCTTCAAGGAACTAATCCCGAGACAAACTACCCATCTTACAGTGTCTCCTTGTAAACTCGGTGCGGCGGTTAAGCCTGCATAGAGCCAGATGAGGGGAGACCTAATAAGAATGTGTTTCTCTCGTAAACAAATAGTGGATCGAAGAGAGAGATAGGTTGTTACCTTGTAATGAAATCTTAGGAGCTCTCCAGTTGGGGAAGAAAGTTTGAGTGATTTGTCACTGCAAAAAGCTAGTTTGTGTGTGGATATAAAGAGAAGACCTGCAAGAGGTCCTGTTGTTGTTGACAAATGGCATTGACAAGCCTTCAATAGCTTCTCTCCTTCTCTTACACTAAATAACTGCTTGTAAACTTTCCTCAACCCACCAACTTGAAGAATCTTTGCTCCCAAGTTTAACTTTCCCTTCACTGTTTCTCTGATCTTTTGTCCTAATCTCACTGCAACTTGACAAACCAAACAATACAAACATAAGTTCATGGCTTCTATGTTGTACTATTGTGAGATCCCACATCGGTTGGAGAGGAAAGCGAAACATTCTTTATAAAGGTGTGGAAAGTGGAAACTTCACCCTAGCATACACGTTTTAAAACTTTTAAGGAGAAGTCCGGAAGGGAAAGCCCAAAGAAGACAATATCTGCTAGTGGTGGACTTAGGCTGTCACTAATGGTATCAGAGTCAGACAATGGGTGGTGTGCCAACAAGGACACTAAGCCCCAAAGAGGGTGGATTGTGAGATCCCACATCGATTGGAGAGGGAGATGAGTGTCAGCAAGGACGCTGAGCCCAAAAAGGAGATGGATTGTGAGATCCCACATCGGTTGGAGAGGGAAACGAAATATTCTTTATAAAAGTATGGAAAAATAGAAGCGTTTTAAAACCTTGAGGGGAAGCCCGAAAGGAAAAACCCAAAGAAGACAATATCTACTAGGTGGACTTGAGCTGTTACAACTATAATAATTTGATTGACGAGCAATCATCTTTAAGTTGGTTTAATGGGATGTTGAAAGTCTTAATTATAAGCCTCATGGATTTGATTTGATATTAAAGAACCATATAGTGAAAAAAAAAGCTTACCATGTTCTCTAACTCCATGGGCAAAACTCCCAACCTTGCTCCCCCTGCTAACAACTGCATCCTCCCTACCTGCAAACATTTACAAAACTCTCTCCATTCAGTCACCATTCACCCTCACAACAAATACACATAGACATCAACCCAAGGAAAGAAAAAAAGAAATAGAAGCTTTACATTGTTTTGTCGCCCGGGGTTCGCCATCGGGAGATTGACTACCGATCGGAGCAGGCAACAGTCTCTTCAGCGACTTCTCAACCGGCTGAAACGCCGTGGAGCCAACAAGGATCCCGGCAACTTCTCGTGTCATCAAAGCATCCATTTTCTTCTGCTTCTACTTGTATGTATGAATTAATGTACAAGGTAAAGGAGTGAGGGGGGATGATCAATGTTCTTCCTCCAACTCTTATAAATGGTGAGACATTGAAACATGAAGCTTTGAGCTGAGTCAGCCATGGCCGTCCACCAAGATTATTAAAAGAACGGATATCAGTGAAAGAGTTTTTTAAGAGAAAAGGATCATAAAGGGAGCCAAGATAATGTTGGGGCTTTGTAATTTTTACTTGGAAAATAAAGCATAGTGGAATTGCCTTTTTTGCAAGACCCTTAAGAAGGATGCTTTCTTGTTATGCAAGCACGTATACATTTATAAACTATGCCTTAATTACTTTACCTGGCTTCTTTAAATTCTTTTAAGGAATTGTGTTCACATACTTTTGTGTAATTTGGATTCGTTTTTTTTAACGGTTATTTAATTCTAAAGTTCGTATGGACGAAATTGATCATTCATACTGTCCGGTTAGTATATTTAAGCCTAAGATTCGTTTTTTATGAAAATTAGTAAAAATTTATCACTCATACCGATGGGTTGGTTATTTACGAGTCACAAAGCCTTATGTGATCATTTTTGGACAAAAATTTGGACCTAGAATAATACAATAACGACCTCCAATGAAAATTGAGACTCGGACATTGTCATAGTCTTTGTTCCAAATCCCAATTTTCTATTTGAAACATTTATAAACATTTATAAAAAGTTGAGGGTGTTATTGTAATTTTTTTGAAAGAACGTGTGTATTTTTTCTAATATGGGATAAAGTTCAAGGGTATTTTTATAATTTAGTCTTTAAAAATTCTTTTAAGCGGAGTTCGAGTCGAAAAAGGTAATATAATAATATTAATGTAAAAAAAAAACTTAGGATAAATCTAAAAACTATTAAAATTAGAAAGAAAAAAATGGTTTAAAAAAAAATATGGAAGCAACTTTTGCAAATGGATCATATTTTATAAGCGTAAGAGCTTTGTGATGCAACTCTTCCCCTTTTCTACCAATACAAAGAAAAAGTTAAGTCATGTGAAAACATTTTTATTTTTTTAACTTTATTCGTGCAGGCAAGAAATCGAAAAATAACATGATGTGTCACTTCGAGTAATAGTATCAATTAGGAGACAAATCGGTAATTTGCCACGTGAACTAACCACTTAGAAGTCTCGTGTCTAGGTACGTGCTTGGCCATATGGTCGACATGAGTGTACGAATGCCACATTGATTCGAGTATAATTTGTTAGCCGCCGCGCATAGATCATTAGAAATGGCATAGCATGAAATATCATTCACTTTCTAATAAAAGACCGTGATAATTTCTTACCAAAGATTTGTAGTCATCCTAACCAACTCAACTCATAGATGAATTCAAATTAAGCATTAGTTTAAATTTGTGAGTGTACATTGTCAAACACCACGTCAGTATGAGACTCTGCTCGTACATTGATTGACATCCTAATTGTCAAAGAGACCATTCACATCACTAATGATCTTTTATCAAGAGTCGTGCATCCATAATATCAACCGCAAAGTATAATAATTACTAACTCATCGTTGGTAAGTCTAACCTAACTATGGTTGACATAAGAATAAAATAGAACTTAAAAACTTACCAAAATTGAGTGATGAGTTGTGGTTAAATATGTTTATTTAACATGTGGGATCTGTCCCGAGATGGAGAATCCTTATTCAAATGGGAGAATGAGGAAGAAAATGAAGAGAAATTTTCCATGTTCACTAAACAGAGCTGTGACGAGGATTATTCTCCATCTCGGCCGACCCATATATATATATATATATATCCATAAATTTCTCAAAATAAAAAATGAAACTTTTATTTATTTATTTATAAATTAATATTATTGAGATCTTAAAGAAATTAAAGACGGGCTTTATGAGAATCATTTGACATTGCTTCCTTTTCCCACTTTATATATATATATATATATATATATATATATATATATATCTTTTTATTTTATTTTATTTTATTTATTTAAGCTTTGCAATGGCACCCATATTCCTTTTCCCAATTTTGTACCAACTTCCACTAAAAGAAAAAGTCCATTTATTCATTTTATTTATTTATTTTAGCTTTGCAATATAATGTTTATGCACTTTTATTTTAGTTGATTTATTGAACAACTAATATAACATATACCAATTAATTAATTAATTAATTTTTTCGTTCAGAAAAGTCGTTAAACATCACATATTATATTAAAAATATAATTTGAAATTAATTAAAAGTATTAAATAATCATTAAATACTATTTTAATATTTTATATGTTATCATTTAATTTTGGTTTCTACAAAATTGGTATAAAAAATATAAACTCCCAAATATTAATTATCTTATATATAACATTATTTTATATAACAAAATATAGACATTAGTTATCCCAAACATTTAAATCTAAATATTTAATATTCATACTTATAAAACCGTGATAATTCAAATTCACCTAGTAGATATTGTTCTCTTTGAACTTTTCCTTTTGAACTTCCTCTCTAAGTTTTTAAAATGTTTCATTCTCTCCTCACCAATCGATGTGACCACAAGCAGATATTGTTTTTTTTTTTTTTTTTGCTTTCCCTTTCAAGTTTTCTCTCAAAGTTTCTAAAACGCGTCTCCTAGGAGAGGTTTTCACGTGACTGTTAGCAGATATTGTTTTGTTTTTTTGTTTTTTTTTTCAACCAAGGTGGGACTCTGGGACTCACTCCCAATAATCCTCAACAATCCTCCCCTAGGCTTATGGAGCTCTCGAATAGCCTCCCCTTAATCAAGGCTCGACCCTTTGTTCGACATTTGAGGATTCTATTGACATGGTTAAGTTTAGGGCATGACTCTGACATCATGTTAGGAATCACAACTCTCCACAATGGTACGATAGTGTCCACTTTGAGCATAAGCTCTCATAGCTTTGCTTTTTTGAGCTTCCGGAAATAGTATTCTATCACTGGGATTCACTCCCAATAATCCCCAATAGGGATCTCACATAAACAATATATGCAATTCAAACGAACCAACTTGAGCAATGGCCACTACAGAAGACCATAGTGATCGTTTGCCTAAACTTATTTTACTTATTAAGCCAATCATCTAAATATAGATTTACTACTAATGGTGACAATATATTGACATGTAAAGTCATGTTATGGTGAGATGATGCTTATCCAAAAGGTGGGATCTTCTTAGAGAGAGATTTTGAATGTAAAAGTTTGAAACTTTCAAGGAAATAGGATGAAGAAGTGGAGAACATAACTTGTCAATCACAAGAGAATTTGTACAATTGAGTTGATTGTATTGTGATCAAAACCAAAGAACATTTCTGCTGCATTATCTTCCTCCAAGCATCTAGCATCTCTTGCATTCTTGATAGATCACATCTTGAAGATATTGAAGAGTTTTGCGATATTTCAAGAACCCCATAAACCAGAAGTCAAAATTATCCACCGTAACTATTTCCATGTACTTCTGTGAAGGCTTCATCACATTCTCACTTTGATTGATTCTCTCTATTTTTCCTACTGGAATCAATACCTGCAGACAACCATTTCTTTCGAGTTTTAGTGCTGCGTGAGAGGAAGAAGATGATGACGACGACGATGATGAACAAGAAAGCAACTATTGCTCGGGCGAGCTTACCTTGTAATGGAATCGAATTAGCTCTCCGGTGGGGGAAGAAACTTTGATCGATCTGTCGCTGCAGAAGGCGATCTTAGCTGTGGATATGAAGAGCAGACCTGCAATAGGTCCAGCTGTGGTTGACAAATAGCAGTGGACAGCCTTCAATAGTTTCTCGCCATCTCCAACATTAAACAATTGCTTGTAGATTTTTCTTAATCCACCTACTTGAAGAATTCTAGCTCCTAAGCTCAACTTTCCTTTGACAGTTTCTGTGATCTTGGATCCTAGTTTCACTGCTCATAAACCGAAAAGTTTCTATCAAACTTTCATTCTAATCAGCTCACTTGGATGTTTATTCATCCCAATTCTTTGTTCTCTTGAGCAGCATATCAAAGCGTTTGAGAATCTTAATAATAAACTAAGAAACTAGACTAACAAACTCACCATGCTCCCGGACTCCATGAGCAAAGCTGTCAGCTCTTTTACCAAGCTTGTTCACCCTGCTAAGCATTGAATCTTTACTACCTGGAAAGTGAAGACTATTCTCAATCCAAAAACCCATTTCTTGTTCATTCATTCATTTATCAAAGCATGAGTTTGGGGGATTTCTTACATTGTTTTAATGTTGGGTATTTACTGTCTGGAGATGGAATGTTGTAGTGGCCAGCAAGATCAGGTAAGAGTCTCTGAACTGATGATCCAATTGGAAATCCAATAACATGTCTCTGTAGTAAAGCTTCCATCTTTGATTAATGATAAAGAAAATTCAGGTATACAAATTCTCTTGCTAGGAGTGGCTTGATCTCTACAGCCACTCAACCAGGATGTTCTTAACTAGCAAGAAGCAGGGAGGAGATGTTTTCTTAATGACTAGTGTATCAATCTCTGGCTCTCCCACTATATTTAAAGGGATCGAAAATTGTTGGTGAATCTTACTTTCTGTTGTCTGAGTCATCCAGGATGCATCAGAAAGAATAAAAAGATTAAGATAATTGGGAAAAAGAAAAAGAAAAAGAGATCTTAGGTTTAGTAACTTTAGAAAGAAAGCAAAACAGAAAGCCTTTTGAAATATCTCCAATCTCCTAAGAAAGCTTCGGAAGAAAGGCTAATCTCTTGCAGAACAGGCCTTGTTCTAAGCATTAGCTCAACAAAAACCTCAAGGAAATGAGAGAGTAACAACATTCATCCTACAAAGGCCTCAATCCGGTGAGGGGGAGGATCAACTCAACAAAGATAACCCATATAAGAATGTTCATAGTTAGAACATTTATTAACATGAATTCTGATGATACCATTTAGAAATTTGGATTCGATTTCTTAACCACCTCCCAACCCCACCCAGATAAAGTAAATAAGAAGAAGAAAGTATAGAAAAAGTTGGCCATTGAAAATAGATCCCAAGACAACTTTTGTATCATAGCACTACAGATTCCTACTTTTCCTCAATTTAAAATGGTGAGGCTTTGATTTTGAAACTTTTGAGCTGGCTTATTGGCTTTCTGATGCCAGCTGACTTTTCATAGACCCCAATTGGTAAAACTAACACCTAGCACATGCTAAAAGGCATAACGGTCGCATAGTTTTACCAGAAATGACATTTGATATCATGTTTTCAGTACAAAATCTCAGTTGTTTACCTAATATAACCGCTATTTTCTTCTCCTCTGACACACCCAGCATCAAAAAAAGCTTGTAAGCACCACACTGAAGGTGAAAAAAGTACCAGGACTTACATCAAACACCTTGTGTGCACGATCCCAAAAGATATATTTCTAGTTCATTATGGGTATTCAGGAAATCCCATTTTGATCTTAATTCATTCCAAACAAACTAGAAACGGGAAAAAAAAAATCCAAGGATAATTCAAGTCGGCAGATCAAAAGAGGAAAAATTAGTGGAGGGAGAGAAAAATTCATGACCTTACTTGAGAAGAAGATCAGGAGGGTCCCCATGTCGACTTGGAAAGCTGGGATTCAACCTGATAATGTGGCAACCATCCTTTTCGATGAATCACTAGCGCGTATATTCATCAATGTTTGAGTTGTAAAATGAACGACCAGAACCAAAAGGATGTAATCAAAAACTGACTTGGCCTTGGGAAAGTGATTGTGAAATTTAAATCGAATATTTTCATTATTTTGTGAAATTAATTCAAGAAAAAACTTTATGTAACGGTCAAATATTAACAGATAAAATAATCAAAGTTAATTTCAAATAATTTTAATCACACAATTAATTACAATTATTTTAAAAAAAGTAAAGACTTATATTAAATTATTAATTGAAATAATTTTGGCAAATAATTTTTTTAAATTAATTCTAATTAATAATTAATTTCACTGATTTCATATTTTTTAATAAATATACTCATGCTAAAAAATATTTATATAGAAATTAATTGCTTAATATATTATTTTTTTAATTAATTTTAGTATATTCTTATCAGTTATAGAATTAATGTAAATATAAAATTATAACAAATATATTTAAAAAATAAAGAAAGCTTAAAAAAAAGAGAAAAATACGGTTCATATAAACAAAAGTCTAAACCAAAAGTCAATTGGTTTAGAGCATATTCACGAAAAGATTCGAATAATTCGTCATATATTTTTTTAACTAAAAAATAAATAAATAATATATCTTATATTAATTTTTTAATGAGAATGATATTATTAATAAAAATATTTATTTTAACAAACATTATACTAATATTTTTTTGAATTTGATTAAAAGTGATTTAATCAAGTTAAATAAAAGTGTGTACATAATTAATTAGAGAAACCATTATTAATAGTTAATATTATTTGATTTGTTTTTATATTATTAAATAATGATGTGTAAAGTATAAAATATATTGTTTTTATATTATAATTAGGTTCTATTTTTGCTATAAAATAATAATAAAAATTGCACTAAATGAGCTTCAAAGTTTCAAAGACATTTATGAGTTGGATGTTCTATTCTTTCCCAACTGCTCAACATTTTTTTGTTCCTCAGCTGCCTACTCTTATATTTTCATTGCCAGTAAGAGAAGATAATTGAAAGAAAGGCGAAAGCGATTGGATCTTTCAATGCACCGTTACATCTTTTATCGTCTTGATATCTGGGTGAGGGACCCCTGCAACGACGGGAGGCTTGAATGTTCCTTTATACATGGAAAGTTTTTTAAAGGAATCGAATTTATTGGTTACACAAAGATGAGGCTCAAATGTTTCTTTATACACGGAAAGCTTTTTAAAGGAATCGGACTTATTGTTTGTACAAAGATGATCGATCGCCATAATGACCCAAGCAAGCTGAAGTAAGGCTAATATGTGCCTTTTCCTCACCAATTTGGCATTCCCAACTAATAATTTGTGTTTTTGAAGCTATTCAACATAGACGTGTGTAGCATCAGATACGTCATTAGAGCCATGTTTACGTGTGCATCCGTAACCACTATGCTAGGTGTCACAATCGCATTCTTGCGGTAGCGGGACAAGGATTGTGCGACACTTGTTCTAATCCAGCGAACAAGTCATTCGTGTGAAATTCGCACTTCACGGACAATATTGATGTATGTTCGAGTCTCGAGTCACATTTGAGATAAATGTTTTAGAAAACGTCAGCGAGGAAAAATGGTGAAAACAATTTTAAAGAAATCAATGTTATAAGCTAAAAGTGAGTAGGCAATAAGGATTTTGATAACATATAACCCGGGTAGGAAAAATTGATAATTAGTCACATCCCCCTATAGTACATATTTGGCATTTGGGTGTAGACGTGGTTTTGTTAGCCGGTCATACACCCCATATTGACACAACAACAATAATAAAAGTCTATCTAACATGAAAGTAAGTAAAAAGAGTTTAGAACGGACATGTGGTCATAGACAACATTTCTTGGACAAGCATGACAAAGACATCCGACATACAATTATAGGCAACATGTCTTGGACAAGCATGACCATGGCACCGGGCTTGGACCTTATATGCCATATGAACTGAAGCAGAGATTGACAACGGTGCCAATAGCTGAGATGAGCGAAGATATGCCTTCGGTTTCGGGATAAGAGATTCTAATTTTTTATTTCTTGATCGAAGATATGTATTAATAATTTGAGCGACAAAAGCACAAACACATCTAGCATCACATTTCAAAAAGCAACAAAATTACATACACCTGTTCCAGTCCACCTTTCAAAAGCCTATAATTCAAAAGAAAATTAACAATGAATAATAGACAATTTTGCATCCAGGAACAATAAATTAGTAACAAATAACAATTAAATGATAACTCTATACCAAGGGACGCCGAACTAAATCAATATTTGCAACCAAAATAAATAAATGTCTATGATCTAAGATGTGAATCATCGCTATCTTACACAAGATGATACTTTCATACGCTACAAAATGAGGATAACATAGGGCAAGTCATGGATGAAGAAGATTAAACCAGTTCTGACCACCCTTTGGAATGCCAAAGCTCTCCTGTTTAAGTGTTTCCTACAAAGAGTCATGTTCAACCGTCTTGTCTGCACGAGTTCGATAGATAGAGGGAGGTTCATACTCGAAAGAAATTAGCGAAACTCATCGTGGGAATCGTAGTCGTCCTCGTCATCTTCATTGAAAATGGCGCTGTAAAATACGTAAGGATGATCGATCATTTCTGTCAAGGTGAGACGTCCATCTTTATCTGCATCCGCCTGCAAGAAAAAGACAAAGGAGTTGTTGATCAACAGATATGAATAATCAAGAAAAAGACACTAAACTTGGAATTTCCATGAGTATGAATAATCCAATTATAACCCAGCCATCTCTAATTGTTTGGGGGAAAAGGGAAATTGTTTCTACTCTTAGGAATCACAACTCGATGGTATGATATTGTACTTTGAGTATAAACTCTCGTGGCTTTGCTTTGGGCTTCCCCAAAAAGTCTCTTCCTTACTTATAAATTTTCACCTCCCTCCCAACAATCCTCCCCTTGAACAAGGTACACTATAGAGCCTCTCTTGAGGTCTATGGAGCCCTCAAACAACCTCCCCTTAATCAAGGCTCGACTTCTTCTCTGGAGTCCTCGAACAAAGTACACTCTTTGTTTGCCACTTGAGTCACTTTTGACTATACGTTCGAGACTCACAACTTCTTTGCTCGACATTTGAAGATTCTATTGATATGTCTAAGTTAAGGGCATGACTCTGATACTATGTTAGGAATCACGACTCTCCACAATGGTATGATATTTGTCCACTTTGAGCATAAGTTCTCATGGCTTTGCATGGCTTTGCTTTGTGCTTCCCCAGAAAGCCTCGTATCAATGGAGATGTATTCCTTAATTATAAACCCACGATGATTCCCTAAATTAGCAAATTGAGGGAATCCCTCCCAAAAATCCCCAACATCTACCGCCATACATGAAATACAATACAAGATGATTATTTATGCCATTAATATGTGCAATATCCAAGCAATACTTCAATGACAAAGCCAGAAAGCTCATCAATTTTCACAAGGATTTCAAGATTTCGCCATGCATGTGTACCTGCTGTATGATATATTCTGCTTGTTGTTCTGCATAGTAATGCTCTGATGGGTGGATTTTTCCAATTATAGGTAAGAGCTCTTCATCAGACAGGTGTCTATGAAAAACGACACAAAAAAAAAGCATTAAAGTTGCCAAGGAACTCTGCAGTTAACAAGCAAGAAGGTGTTCGGATTATAAATATCAGTTACCCGTCATTATCTTTGTCTAGCACTGCAAACAAGTTTCTAGCAGGGCCGTCCCTGGAATCTTCAGAATGATGAGAAGAATTGTGATTCTCATCATAATTTCTCACCATGTCAAAAAGTCCATGGAAAAACTCGTTGAAGTTAATCTTTCCATCCTTGTCTGAATCTCTTTCCCTACAAGGCCATTCACCAATTGACTAGTTGTTAGCAAGCTGCTGAAATGGCAAACAACCCAAGGGCCAGGGGCCCTAAAAGCGATGAAAAGAACTATCAAAAGAACCTCCATGAAAAGAGTCTTTCAATCAGAAATAATAATCAAACAATGAAAGAGAGGTAATCATTCCTAAGCGTTTGGAAGAATTAATTTGATGGAGTGATGATAAGATAGGGATAAAATCAAGGGGGAGAATGCATTCTTTGCAATGAAAAAACCAATTAGAAACAATGAGCCGGAGGAAGATGTTAGGATCATACAACAATGCACACTCTCTATCTCGATAAACACAAAGAACTGGAGAGAGAAAATGTAAGGAGAACTCTAATTTCAGAAATGTACACCAAGAAAGAATATAGAGAATGTAGAAAAGTAAATCTTCAAATCAGAGAAGGTAGAAAAGTACATCTTCAGATCAGAGAAGGTAGAAAAGTACATTTCAAATCAGAAAACGTAGAAAAGTACATCTTCAAATAAGAGAATATAGAAAAGAAAATTACATTTTCAAATCATTTTTCATATATATTCTTACTATTTATAACAATTGAATATATAAATAGGAAAAGACTCCATATCCCAAGAGAATACACGCTGTATAAACAATAAAAAATAGGCGTGACTAAAAAGAGTTACAAGCAGTGGTGCAAGTAGATTTGGAAACACAGGCAGTTGTTTCAAGTAGATGCTTCCATGACAACCGGCAAAAGATTCTTATGAAATCCACAAATAATTAATAGGAGATGTGTGTTAAATCCAACAAAGCACTGCTTCGATGTGATATGGGAATGCTGAGTATATGCAGACAAAAGAAAGATAGTCTTCACTAAAAATTAGAAATCTTCCTCCAAATATTTGAAGAGATGGGAATAAAATGGCAGTGTTGTTGAATTTACAAAAAAAAAAGTATTAACTCAGCTAGGTGAAATAGAAGCTTACATTAGAGTAAAAGAGAATACTCTAGATTTTTACCAACTGAAGTCAAAATGTGGATCAATGGAGTGTTGAGGATTGTTAGGAGGGAGTCCCGTTAATTTAGAGAATGATCATGAGTTTATAAGTAAGGAATACTATCTCCATTGGTATGAGGCCTTTTGGGAAGCCCGAAGCAAAGCCACGAGAGCTTATGCTCAAAGTGGACAATATCATATCATTATGGAGAGTCGTGATTCCTAACATGGATAAAGCTTACATACGAGGGATTTAAAAGGGCGAGTTAATAACTTCTCATACTAACAATTCTCTAAAAATTCCGTCACAAATTAATAACTTCTCCCATCAACAATTCTCAACAATCTTCCCCTCGAAGAAAATAGACCAGCCATTGAGCCTCCTCTAAAACAGTCATATCTATCCGTCTAGCACTATCTGGATAACTCCTCTCCCATGGAGCACATTGCTAGTCCAGTAGAGCTCTACCACGGAGCTTCACTAGGACTACACCTTCGAGGCTCACAACTTTATTCGATACTTGAGTCACTTTAATTACACCTTAAGGATTCTATTAACATGGCTAAGTTAAGGATTCTATTCACATGGCTAAGTTAAGCTAAGAGTGTTTGGGTAAGGCAAACTGATCAATAAAAAAATCACCCTCAAGCCCATTAGACAAGATGCCCAAGCTAACAATGAGTTAAGTTGAGTTGGTTCATGAAGAAAGAGAAGCGCGCTAGCAAATGATTGCCATGGAATGCGACCTACAACTTAATGAAAAACTACCTTCCAATAAAAATTAGAGAACCCGCTTGGGCAGCAAAAACTTCCTTAAAACTTCTCTTTCCAAGATTAGATAATGTGGCTAAAAGTATCAAAATAAATAAATAAATAAAAGCTACACCCAAATATTATCGGAGCATTATCTCCAATGCTTTGAATCCTGGTTTAAGAAGGCCTCTCTTTAATAGGGAGATTAATGAATTGATTTCCCTCACACAAATCACAAATCACAAATAATCACAACAATAAGCAGAAGTGGACTAAAGAAAAGAGTGGAATTTCTCATGGGCCATCATATTCTTGCGGTTTAATGAATAAAGGGTCCGTAATTAAAGAAACCCTCCTCAAAATCCAGCTGAGGTTATTCAAAGAATGAAAATCGTTTTTGGGTTTTACCTCTTAGTGTTGGTAGTGCGTGTTTGAAGAACAAAAACCTACATTGCTGCAAGCCTGCTTAGCCTGAATATCGTTGGAACTTTATTGGATAGTTCTGGTATCCATTGGAGTTTCTCCCCTACCTTCAGGTAATCCCACACGAACTGCTTTCTGACAACTTTTTTTATCAGGAAAGCCAAGATTCTTGGAGAGAAAAGGTTCGGAGCTTTTATTCATGAAGACATGGCTCGAAAGAAACCATAAAATTTTCTCAACAGTGCTGGGGAAGAGAGAAGTAGGTGGATTGGGGAGATAATGTTAGGATCGCACAACAACGCACACACTCGATCTAGATGAACACAAAGAAATATTGGCTAAAGGTTTATATTGATGTCTTCAGATATATAACGGTCAGCCTCCCTAACCTAACCAATAATTTTCTGAAAGAGTTTCCCCATGTTATATCAAGTACTATCGAGGTGTGCATTCTTAAAGATGGTTGGATGAAAAAGTACATTTTCAAAGCCCTGGTTCAGTTTACTATTTGGAGTTTTACCGGATATAACCATTTATTTTATATAACTATCTACATTATATAGTTTTTTATATACATACCGATTTACTATTTATGACAATTTACTTTATATTCATTTATCATATATAGTTGTACTAATGATAAATGCTGACTAAGCTATAAATAAGCAGCAGCATCCATGACCTAACAAAATCTGAAAGAGTTTCTCCATATATATCAAGTACTATGAAGGTGTGCATTCTTAGAGATGGTTGGATGAAGAAGAATGATAGTATGAGCCTTCATTTTTTAAGTTTTAAACCAAAGAGAATTTAAAGAGTGATTGCAACAAATTTAGTGCTTCGGCTTACAAGCAAACTCTCTAATCAGGGAAGAAGATTCATCAGGAATTTTTCCCGTCAAGCTCATAGGCATCCACTTCTATATCTAAATCCAATTCCCTTTAATTTGGGCAGTCTTTCCACCGAGTAGGAAAAAATTAGGACGAACTTTCATTCATATTTGAAGCGACAATGTTCAAAGTAAATGACTCCTACAAGGATCCCTAAACTGGAAATTACAAGAAAGAAGAGCTGAACCCCACAAACTTTTCATTCATATATTGTTACATGGTGGAAAAAATTAGGACGAACTTTCATTCATATTTGAAGCGACAATGTTCAAAATAAATGACTCCTACAAGGATCCCTAAACTGGAAATTACAAGAAAGAAGAGCTGAACCCCACAAACTTTTCATTCATATATTGTTACATCTGATACTCATTAATATAGCGGAAACTTGCCAGCATGATAAATACTCAAATACCAAGTCCAGAAAACAGCAACACTCAACAAAACAGAAAAGCAAGAACCGAACATCATATATATTAATCATATTTTCAATTAGTTAAATCCTGCACTAAATGGTTCTTGACATGAAATTCATTAATTCCAAAGTTCAATGAGAAGCTCAAGAATAGCCAAAATGGGATAATATATCATGAAATTAGAGAATAGTAGATGTTCTAGTGTTCATAATCATGTTTAGCTCTTTTTCAGCTAAACAAGTTGTTAATATCCTCAGTAAACACTAATAGTAGTTTCAGCAGAGATGAAGAACAATTGAACATGATAATAAAAGTGAAGTAGAAACAAAGACATGGAAAGAAAACTTTTGAGAAGTTTTATCATAAAGTTTCATTACCGTATTTCTTCCTCACACAGCCAATGAAGTAGCTTTGGATTTTTGCTGTCAGCTGGGTGCAGAAAGCTACAAGTCCAGAGATGAAGAAAAATTAAAAGCATCTCAGTTTAAACATGCAATATGCTTTCCATACTCGCCACAGAAACATCTACAAATATAAAACTTACTCGTTGAACTCGGTCAGATTCAAAAGACCATCTCCATCGGCATCCGACGCATTAAAATGTTCAAATTTCCACCAACCCATATTGAAGCCAAAGGAGCTATTGTCTGATGAGTAGTTTAGTAATGAGGAACACACAAAAAAAACTGCCTAAAAGGATCTACAAGTAGAAGAAAACACAAGAAAAATGGAAAAACTGCTATGAATCTGCATCATAAGTGCGGCAATACATTTGTTTTTGCCAAAACGGTTAGGAATCACGACTCTCCACAATGATTCCCTAAATTAGTCAATGTGGGACTACCTCCCAACAATCCTCCCCTCGAAAGTACACTATAGAGCCTCCCTTGAGGCCTATGGAGCCCTCGAATAGTCTCCCCTTAATCGAGGCTCAACTCCTTCTCTAGAGTCTTCGAACAAAGTACACACTTGAGTCACTTTTGACTACACCTTCGAGGCTCACAACTTTGTTCAACACATTTAAGGATTCTATTGACATAGCTAAGTTAAGGACACGACTCTGATACCATGTTAGGAATCACAACTCTCCACAATGGTATGGTATTGTCAACTTTGAGCATAAGCTCTCATTGCTTTGGGCTTCCCCAAATGGCCCCATATCAATGGAGATGTATTCCTTACTTATAAATCCATGATAATTCCCTAAATTAGCCAATGTGGGACTCTCGCCCAACAATCCTCAACAAAAACTTCTGCTTAATAAATCAATCTCCAAGTTTTCCAAACTCTTACTCCTAGCGATTGGACATTACGAACCATAACTAGTTTCCAAGCCGCATAAAAATTCGCAACCAGAGAGATTTTGAACACAGCAAGAAAAAAGAATAGAGCACACAAAACCAAAATCCCAAAGCATTTGAAGAAAAACAGACCTGAATTGCGAGCCCAACTGGGAGGCTCGTACTCGGAAAACGAAACAAGCCCATCGTGATTCTTATCATGCGTCTCCAACTCCCTCTGAGTCCTATGCAAAGTTTCCCTCTGAGCCTGCTGCAAATTCCACTCAGTCAACTCATCGACAGCGACAAATCCATCAGATGGATGAACATCAATCTTCGGAAACAGCAACGTGAGCCGATCGGTCACATTGAATCTATTATCATCATTAAGGTAATCCTCAGCATCCGCGAAATCCTCCCACTCAGGCTGCGATTCTTCGCCGGGGGCATGTTCCGTCAAATGCGCCGCCATCTCCGGATGGTGTTGTTCTACATATTGTTTCTCCCATTGCCGGTCTTCACGTCGGCGCTCAATGTCGGCGACAAGAGGGTCGAACGGCACAGCCTCGTGATGGTGGTGGTCGTCATGGTGGGAAGGGGCAAAAGTGAAGTTGGAGCGAAGCTTGAGGCGGCGATGGCGGCGATTGGGGGATTTCTTGGGGGAGTGGGAAACGAGAAGGAGGAGAAGAACGGCTACTGTGATGTATACGATAATGGAAACTTTGCTCATTCCGTAAGCTTAAACAATGGCTGCCAATGGAGAATGTGGGGATTCAAGTGACAATTGTTGAAGATGGAATGAGAGGGATTGAGAATTCAAGAGAGAAATCTATGGGGGAATTGGGAATAACGTAGATTCTTAGAGTGAAGAGGAAAATCAATGAAGTTCTAGAGAGAAAACGAGTTGAACAAGTTCCTTCTGTTCATCGTTGATGACTTTAATAGACGTGCTTTGGTAGATCTGCTGAATTCGCGTGGTTTTCTAGGGGTAAAAAAAAAACGAATAAATAAATAAATTTTAAGTTACCGTATCTAAATGTTTTTAATTTAGTTGAATTTCTTGTAATTTAATTAGTTTGTTGCGTGTAAATTGAATTTTACCATATTTAAAAAATATATAAAAAAAAATTGAGAATTTAAAGATTTAAATACACAAAAATTTAAGCCGTTAAGAACGAGGAATAGAAGTGGGATAAGAGTGCAACCAACATAGGTGAGATCAAAGGTCTCAAATGCGTTCTAAAGTCCAATTTTCATTAATGTTCAAAGTTTAAATAGAATACACGCTACTAACTAATATGTAAAATTAAGAAAAATATAAACTAAGATAATAAAATAAAATATACTATTAATCAAATCAAAGAAAAAAAAATATTAATAAATTACGAATATATATATCTATAACTAATTATTATAATATATTCTCCAAATATTATATCTCAATTCAAAATAGAAAACTTTTTAAATATATTTGACATTTATGGACAATAGAGATTACATGGATGAGTAGAGACAAAGATTCTCATCTATGCCACATATTTCATTTTTTAGTTAAAATTTTAATTTATTTTTATAGAAATTGAGGTAGGAATTTTTCAATAATTTTTATTATTTTTAAAGATAGTTATTTTATCGTTTTCATTTTCAATATAAGATTAATTAAAAAATTATAATAAATCAATACATTTTATAGGTACACCAACTTAATTTTTAAAAATTCAAATTTAAAGATTAACCTAATTTTTTAACATTACTCCATAGTTTTTATCTTAAATATTATAATAAATTTTACAAATTTTGAAAATGCCATTGAAATTTCCTTTAAAAAATGACAAAATTAGGTTTTTATTTAAACAATGGTTCAAAAAAAAAACCTTGTGCATTGAACATATTTAAATTTTAAAAAAATTCATTAGAATAAATTTAAAAAATACTTATAAACGAAAACAATTAGTATTTTTTAAACTATTTTATTTCAAAAATATTTATAGAATTTAATGTTGGTATATTAAACTTAAAAAAAAATCATAATAAAATGATTAATGTCTCGTTTAAACTACTAACCTATAACTTAAAATATAATAGAAAAATTATGGGAATTCACAAAAATAGGATGATAGTAGTTTTTCTTAATATAGAGTGATTCAGTATATATGAATTTAAGTTTGAAATTTAGTTGTGGTTGATCAAATCAAATTTCAAAAACATTTGCTAAATGATTATATTTCTCACCTGCATTAAATGTAATGGAATACAAGGATTTTCATGGAGATTTGAAAGAAGAAAAATGCAGGTTAAAGATGAATGTTCTAATGTATTTTGTAAGGGCGATCAGCCACCAAGCCGGTGATCCTTACCTTGTCGCGATCTAGTTCAACCGAAGTCCGAACTGCATCCGATGTGCGAATCATGAATTTCTAATTCCCAAAATCTGTCAATCGAATGCCCTAACAGCAGGTTTAACGCTCATGTGGCCTTCTTTTTCCGACGCTCTTTTTTCCGATCGTCGATATCTTCATCGGAACTGTTGAACTCCTCGTCGTCATCGTCTTCATCGTCTTCCTCAGACGGAGGCGAAGGATCGAGACGAGCGGCATCCTTGGCCCACTGAATCAGCTTCTCAACCTCATCCTCTTCGTCATCGCTATCGACATCGTTAGGTATCGAAGACGGAGGCGGAGTAATCGAGGAAGGCAAAGACGCCTTCAAAGCAGCGAATCTAGCAGCGAGATCGTCACCGAGAATCGACTGAGATTCGCCATCGACGACAAGATTTTCAATCGGCGGTGGCCGCGACGAGGAATCGGATTGATGATGCGGCTGAGAAGGGCGAGGATTGCGGGAAGCGGCGGCGGCGGAGGAAGGTCGCGATCTTAGGGCTTGAAATCGGCGATCGAGATCGGAATCGAGATAGTTTGGGGATACACGCGACATGTGTGAATCGACGCTCAATTTCAGCATGAGATCATCCTGAGCAGCTTGCAGCAATTGCTCGACTTGTTCGTCTTCATTGCCACTTTCCATCTTTCTGAAATCCATTTTCCTCCTCCTATCCTTTCTGTCGACCTTAGCAGTTTCCGCCATTGATATTGCTTCCAAAAAAAAATATATACCTTTTTTATTTTTTTTTTTATTTTTTTATTTCAGTACATTTTGGTATATGTACCATTTAAGTTTTTCAATAAATTTTAAAACTCGCATTTGATTTATAAAAAATAATCAATTATAAATTATAAAAATGGTTTATTATATTTGAGTTTTGAGTATAAATTTTCACTATGTCAGCGAATCCAAAATTTGTTAGATATATAATTGACTAAATTAATAAATTATTTATAATATTTAAAAAAATACATTTAACTTTAAAAAAATACATTTATTATTATTTTTTTAATTTAAAATATATGTTTAATTTTTTTAATATATATATATATAAATCTTATCTTATAGATTGTCTTCGAATTTTTTAATAATACTCCTAAAGTTCATAAGTATTTATAGATTATTTTAAACATTTTTATAAGTATTTTTTAAACGTCAACTAACAAAATATATATATATATTTATATGACGATAAAATTTAATTTAATTTTTTTTATAAAAAGTAAATAATATTAATATTAATTTTAAAATTGGATGGATATTTTGTAAATTATAGTGGCATAATAATATTATTAAAAATAATAATAATAAGATAAAATAAAAAAATCTCGAACAGTTAGAACACTGATATTCCCGCCCTTTCTTCTTCGCCTGTTTGTAGTGCAAGAAACACAAAAATGTTGCCTTAGTTCACCACTGTACTCCCAACTTCGACTGGAGACTACACACACAGAGAGTGAAGAAGCCGGAAAATGTATCCCTACTCCGGCCACGTTAATGGCTCTGGCGTGGGCGGCTCCTACTACGAGAAGCGGTCTGGAACCGTCCAGAAGGGTCGGCCCCGCCGGAGAAGAGGTAGCAGGTCCTACCATAGCGGCGGAGCGACGGTTTCCGGAAACAAGCAGCCGAAGCAAGCAGAGGGGCCTCTTTGTACTGAATTTGACATGGACTACTTCCGTTCTTACTCCCACGTTGGGGTTCACGAAGCAATGATCAAGGTCCGTTTCGGCTTCTTGTTATTCATTATTGAAAATTTTACTGATGCGCTTTTCTAGACGATGTCAATTTCCTGCATTAAATTTGTTCTGTATTGGAAGCACTTAAACTTTGGGGATGGCAAGGTTCGGACAGCATGTAGGATATCTTTTCTAAACTTCATAATTGGTATCAAGACCTTGGAGAAAGACTGACTTTATAAAGGATCTTACACTTTTTGGAGGCCTCTTTTACATTTAAAAGAATGTTGAGAATAGACGTCCTCCCTGGCAATAAGAACACCACGAAGGAACTTGTGGTGATGGAACTATGTTGACTGAGCTTCCCAAGTCTAGTATGTTGGTTTAGAAAAAGAATAAATGTTGTCAAGATTTGCCAAAAGGAAGAGACACTTTTCTGTTGATCTGTTCTTAATGCTCTCCTTAATAAAAATAAGAAAAGAAAGGAATTCAATTGTAACGACCCAAGCACACTGCTAGCAGATATTGTCCTCTTATTTTGCTTTCCATTCTAGGCTTCCCCTCAAGATTTTAAAACACATATGCTAGGGAGAGGTTTCCACACCCTTATAAAGAATGCTTCGTTCTTCTCTCCAACTGACGTGGAATCTCACATCAACAATCGGAATTCTAGTTTCAGATATGCATATTCTTTGCCTGCAACCCCTTTAGAAATTAGAATAGCATATAAATTCGTCTAAAGACATCATGTAAAGTGAGCCTTCCATATCAGTCATATTCTTGAAATCCCACTGAAGCATAATTGCCAAGAAAGAAGCTTGGAAATATTGGAGAACTTCAAGATGTGATAGTGTATGGGTTATTTCATACTAGAAGATGGACCAACACTCGAAAACCACATCTTCATTATACTTTTGGCTGCATCCAAGAGTAGTATTCTAAATGTTTTGAGTTTTTCTTATGAATGTATATTAATAATTTAGAATGGATGAATTAAATTAGCTAAAACGCACACGCAAATTTAGAAATTCTCTTGAGATTGTGTTGTTCTTTCTTTACATTGATAGCTATTATGAAAATCCTATTTTCAGGATAGCATACGGACTGAAACTTATAAGGAGGCAATTATGCAACATCAGAGTTTTATTGCTGGCAACGTAATATTTTTTATTCTGAAAGTTTTAAAAACTGTTTTTTTTTTCATAGGTTTAATGAAATAGCTTGGCTAAAACATCATTTTAGTCCACCACGTTGGTCGCTTTACTTTCTAATGTCCAATTTTAGTCCACGTGCTTTTGATAAATCTTAAAATAGTTCCTGTCGTTAGTTTATTGTTGATTTTTCTAAAAACACTTAATCTTCATTAGTCTTCTCTCCACAGATTTTGGAAACCCTTTACATAGTGTCTATTCTTATATGAATTATTATTGTTATTTAATCAATTTTGATAAACATTAAATTCAAAGGATTAAACTTAAGATTTGTTGAAAGCACATGGGGACTAAAATGAATTGAAGCTCAAAGTACAAAACCCAAATGGTATTCTAATCTGATATTTTTCAATCCATTTTCCCCCTTCTCTTTTTCTTTTGAAATAAAAGAAATAGAACTTTTCATCAATAATTGAGAAGTTACATGTGGATAAAGAAAAGACATCTTCCTTTAGGAGAAGACAATCCTCTTACATACAGGAAATTGTAATTTTCATATTATGAAAAACAAAAACTTGACCTTTTTTGAGAACCAAAACATTATGAAAATGCCCCCAAGTCCGCAACTGGGTAAAATTACAATATAAGAAGAATTACAAAGAACAACTTGGAACAATACACTACAAAAGGCTTGTCCCTTTGGCTAAATCTACACTTTCACCCCCACTTAAAAAAAAAAAAAAAAAAAAAAAAATCATTGTAGGTATCCAAATAATAGCTTTTATGGCATTTGTCCGTCAACGCGCCACTTTACTTTTAAATTTATCCTTGTACTTTTGTTGAATACTCAGGTAACAGGAATAATAAGATACAAGGGCAAACCAAACTCATTGAAAATAAGATACAGCCTCTATAAACGAAGGGATGATGCAGAAAGTGGTGATCATTGGATTCAGCCTCTCTTACAAAGGTTGCATTGTTCATATAAGTTCCCCATCTAAGGAGAACAAAAAAGAATTTTATTTGGGCTTGTCCCCCGATCCCTCTAAAGGATTCACTTGCTACACCTTCCTTCTCACTTTGGGTAACCATCATATTGTTTGAGGCCTTTTATTGTCCTTTTCGTGAAAGGCGAACATTCCTGAGTAGGTTTTTCATATGAGCGTCAGCATTATGGCCTGTATTTAGAGGGATTCTTTCTTCTTGATGGGGCCACAATACTATGGATTGTTTTGACTTTATGGTCAAATGCTGTCAAAATAACTCTTTTTGAGTTTAAAAAAAAAAAGAAGAAGAAAGGATGTTTCATGGTCAGAATAAAGATTGGGAAGAGGCGGTATTGTTGGCCAAGTTTAATTGTTATTTGTCAAGTTTTTTATTTTCTTCCTTTTGTTATTATACCTTAAGCGTAATTAATTCAAGTTGTGCTTTCGTATTTTTGTAAGGTCTTAGTGAGTAGAGCAATGACACTGGATATTGATGTATATTTCCCTTGGGAGAGATACTGGGAATTTTGTTAGAGCCTGTTTTAGGGATTTAGTTTGATGTGCTCTTTACTAGTACAATAAAAAGTTTGAAAAGTTATTTTTTTTTAATAATTAATTTTATTATTTTTTATAAATCTTAATTTTCTAATCTGAGTTCTGGACTAACAAATGTTTATCATTGCACAACTTTTTTCTCACCCTCTCTCTCTTTTGTCAGGTTTATGCAGTTGATGCTAGTGGCATAGCATTGCAGGTATTATTCTAGTATGATATTAATATTTTAATTATTATTATAGTTGTAAATAGTATGCTTTTGGGCTTTAAACACTCTTTAATGTTGCTGGATACCCACTTTCTTGATTATTGCTACCTGAAAAATCTTTTTGTAACATCCTTCACTTATGTATGGCTTTATCCATAATCACCCCTTCTTGCATTTCTTTACCTCAAACCCAGGCTTGTCTTTTTATACCCACATTAGTATTTCATTTTTCTCCATGAAGGCTTGGTTTCTTACCGACAAAAAAAAAAACTTTTGTTCCTACTAATTCTTCTTCTGATGGTCTGGTATCCAATCGTAATCCTTTTGGATGAAAACCACAATTTCATCTTACATATTGATGCATTTAGTTTCATTCTTACATTCCAGTATGTGCTCTGTGTACGATTGTTATATTATTATTTTTTATAATATGTAATTTTGTTAAAGATCCCAGTTAGACATCTATGAATCATGCAAGAAGCAGAATTTGAACTTCATGTCTGAGTTGATTTTTGCTTTTCTATGCAGGCCTTAGACATTGTTGAGGCTAATAATCTATCGGACAAAATCATTGTATTGCATAATAGGGTTGAGGTGAGCTCTTTTAAGTTGCTAATGGTCTTTGCTTCTATTTGTTTGCTTTGAGTTTACATTACTCTTAAATTGATCTGTGTAAAATGTTTCCATTATTTGAAAAGGATTATTAATGACTAGAGTATCTTGTAACTTTTGATTCCTTGCTTCGTTTGCCTTTTGATTCAACCCTTCTTTTGTAATTTCATTCTTTAAATCGGTTAAAGAAATGCTTCTATTATAAATTTTTGGGAACACGTAAATTTCAGGTGGCCATCCTTCGACTAGATGGTGAAAATAATCTCTCTAAATTTACAATCAGAGATTTAGACTGAACAATGTAGAACTGCTCGTATTTGGTTACCAATTTTTATTAAACTTATTTGGTTTCCTTCATTTTTTATTCTTTTGTTGTGTTTGTTTCGAGTTATTCTCTTGGAAATGGACATAAGAATGGATTTTGGGTTGGGATATGTATTTTCATGTTTTGATTTAGATGTCGATCATACTGCTATGAGTCATCTTACTCTCTCTGTTTGTAGGTTTTCCCTGCTCGGTTGGCCAAGAACAACTTTGGGTATCTATGTTTATTGACTTTTCTAATTATTCTTTAGGTTTTATTCGTTTGGTTTAGAACCTTTTTCTTTCTCAGTAGGTTAGGTTTTGGCGGATTTCTTTTGGTCTGTCTTTTCATAGGCCTATCTTTTTGTTGGCTTCTGTTTTTTTGGTCATGGTTGGCCCTTTTGTATTCTTCCATTTTATTTTCTCAAAGTTTTTTTTTTTATTAAAATAAACACAAAAGTCTTACTCATTCAAAGTTGTGAGTATCGCGAGTACATATGCATGATAAAGAGAGAGTTTCAATATTAGTTAATACGAAATTAGGTCATAAATACGTTACTTCTTTTTTGCCAACTTAAGTGAAGTTTAACTGGTTAAGACATTTCTCAACAGAAGGTGAGAGGGTTGAATCCTCACCTCCCAGTTTCCCACATGTTAAACTAAAGACACGTTTGTTACGTGGTTGTTTATAATTAATTATTTAATAATTTTGATGGATTTGTCAATAAGTATCAATAACAGTTACATTATTGACCTTTTCCTCCTAAAACCATGCAGGATGTTCGAATTGATGATGGTGTGGATGTTATAATTTCTGAGTGGATGGGATATATGCTCTTGTACGAGGTGATTATGCTCATCGACTTGTAAAGCTTGAAATAACTACCTTATCTGCAAGTTTACCTTAATGCTTTTTATGAAAGATATATTTTTATTTCATTCTCTTTATTGAATAGAGGGGTTGCTGTTGCAGAGCATGCTTGGAAGTATAATTTACGCCAGAGATCGGTGGTTAAAACCTGGAGGCCTTATACTACCATCAAGTGCAACGGTATCTTGTTTTTCTTATATTATCTTCAGTTTTGATCTGTTGTGTAAAACTGGTGGCAATTTTTTGTCCATTTCTGCTTGTTACTTTCATTGACTTGTACTATGAGATGTGCCTTGCGCTATCGGCATATATGTGACCTGTTTTTCTGTAGAATCTCTTAGTGGTTTGGGTGCTTGATTTTTTTATTTTCTATATATCTTTTTTTATGAGAAATGGAACTTTCATCAAGAAAGATGCAAGCTGTGTAAAGAATAGCTAGCTATTGAAGTGGAAAAACTTCAAATGAACAGCACATCTGTGCACAAGAAAACATTATACGAAAGGATTTCCCTTGCATGTATAGCATGTCCATCTGCATATATTTTGCCTATTATTCTTTAGAATCTCCGAGTGGATGGGTACTTCTTTGTTTTAATGAGAAATCGAACTTTAATCAGAAAAGATGAAAACAGTTGACGTGATAGAAAGAGCTATCAAAGTGGAAAAACTTTAAATCATTGGCATTCAAAATGAAAACTTACACGATGTATATCTCAAATTTTTAAGAGATAAATAGGACTAGAAAAGAAAAGAAAAGAAAAGAAAAGGAATAGTGCTTGACAGATACTGTCTTGATTTTATCTATCTTGCTCACAGTTGTACATGGCACCTGTCACTCAGAGTGATAGATACGGTGAGAGCATTGATTTCTGGCGCAGTGTATATGGAATTGATAGTAAGTGCATGCTGAAGCTATGTATTTCAGTTTTTGTTATTTGTTGTCTTGTTTTTAAATGTGTACCGCTGGATCTCTTGTTTGTCGTTGTGAGTTAGATTTTTTGTTTCTCTATTTCAGTTGTTTATCTAGAATTATTTGTACTTGGTTGAATATGGAAGTAATTGGATCTGTGAATTAATGAGAAGATTTTTTCTCTCTAAATCCGACAGCTTCATGGTAGTGGTAAGTTAATCAGATGTTGTGCCACTTTTTCAGAGTACCGCTAGAAATAAGAGTATATAAAACATAGTTAGAGGAATCTTTTGAAAGAGAGCACTCAGTAGGGGCAAAAAATTTAAATCTTAAAAAATGTCACGGCAAGAATCCTCCTGAAGAGCGGAAATTGCATTAGACCAAATAATCTTAAGCTTTGGCCGGAAAATAAGTGCCTGAAATGAGGTGGAAGAGAGCTGCTGAGCTACTTTTAGGAACCACCAGCTGATTAAAGAGTTTAAAGAGATCATGCCAACATAAAGTTCAAAAAGGAGATTAAAGAAAAGAAATGCATTTGATCCTTCACATCCTTTATGGACAAAGGAACCACCAGCTGATTAAAGAGTTTTTGTGGTTTTTTTGTTTGTTTGTTTGTTTCTTTATTTGTTTTGCGGAATGCATCTTTCTCTAGTAAAAAATTGAAAGAAAAAAAAACTACTGGAGCTATTATTTCCTTATTTATCTTGGATATCGCTTGACTTCAGTTAAAGGGACGAGGAAAACCCAACTTTTCTCTGTAGTGAGTGGAGAACAGCTATAGTAATGAAAAAGAGGGGAGCATTTAAATTCAGAATGTTATCCTCTGCTACATGATTCCGAATCTATTGTTTTGTTCTTTGATAGATTTCGTTATATTTTCCTACTAATAGAGCACAGGAGACCTGTTTATTCATTACCATTTAAATAATAATCCATATAGAACTTGTACATTTACAAATGACACATTTTATTTGGCATATACTATATCTAAAGGGAGGAAGTTGTTTCTTCCATTTGTTCCTTGTGTTGTGTTACTGCCATTGTTGTTGCTCAATAATCAATACATAAACATAACTCTCATTTCTTTCTCTCTCTCTCTGGTGCTGGGGGAGGGGGGTTATGCAGTGCGCTTTTGAAGCGCCATCAATTGAGACAATATCAGGAGAGAATTTACCACCCAACAGCTTCAGAGAAATTTAGGGAAGATGGTTAAATAGTATTTTCAAAAGTACAACTAATGATGGGAAAGAGATTGAAGCAACTTTTCTATGAGAACTTTGGTGCAAGAGCGATAGAATAATTTTCCTTTACAGGTAAAGTATGTAGACTGCTATACAGTGTCAAGTGGCGAGATTGAGTTTGTCACAAAAAGTTACAAGTTCAAGTCAATGATGCGAGGTAATGTCTCTCTCACCATTCTTCCCCCTTGACTTGCGGTATTCATGTACATTCATTCATGGACTTCTGTAGCTTTGGGTTGTCATATCATATGAACTCACCACAGGGAATTCTTATAGCCTTTGGCTTTCTAGCTTTTATGTTGTTTGGATAACATGTGGAGTTCGGCCTTCATGGGTGTTGCATTAAGTAGGAGGACCAATTTTTCCAGGTATATTGTTCGCTTTTCAATTTTCTACTTCTGCGATTAAAAACTTCTCTCTCTTTTTTCTTTTCTTTTTTTAATTTCCACCTCCCTTGCATGGTTTTGCATTCTGGTTTGATGTGAAGTTTTATGGGCCTGCTACTGCCATGCATCGTCTAATGCCATTGCACCCTGATGATAATCAAGTGAAAGATGGTAGCCCGAGGAAGAAACGTGCAAATCCAAATGAAGCACTTGTATTGTCCACTGCACCTGAGGACCCTCCAACCCATTGGCAGCAGGTCCTTTATAATTAATAATAATAATACCATAACACAAGTCGTATGTAATGGAAAATCTACTAGGAGTTGAAGATTTATTTCTCGGAGTAAAGTTCAACTTTTCTAATGTCTTCCAAGTTTCTAACTTATGGTCCCACAAATTTCTTCTTAATCTTGTTTACTTTTGCAGACAGTAGTCTACTTCTATGATCCATTAGAGGTTGAACAAGACCAAATAATTGAAGGCTCTGTTACTCTAACACAAAGCAGAGAGCACTATCGGTTCATGAATATTCGCCTCGAATATGTGTTAGTTTTATTTCATACATTTATTTTAGCAAACATTTCTCCAGTCACTGCTTTGATATATGCGTCTCATTTGGTTTTGATATTTGATCTAGCAGTACAGGTGGGCGGTCCTTTGTAAAAGAGTCGATGATGAGGTGATGATACCTATTCTTTGCTTTGTTTCATGATTTGAAGCCTCAATGAGTCTTCTCAAGGCCTAACCTTCCTGAAACGGTAATTCTCCAAGAAACTCCCTGACTCTTGACCGTATTTTTGCTTTGTGATTGCTTGATTGGCTTTCTTCTTGATACTATCATCCTTCAGGAAAGATGTTGGCTAAGATTGATACAAGACTCCATAAAGAATTCTTTTATTGTAATGGAATTCTAGTTTCCTACGGGGTGGAGACGATGGAGTCGGTCCATAGATTTTCCTTTTCCCGCTGAGATTACAGGTATAGAATTCTTTTATTGTAATGGACTTACCCCTTTCAAATTCTCAGGGGTGATTAGATTCAGATCAGATTTTCCATCATGTAAAAGTAGAACTCCCACCATTACTTTTTAAAATGCTCCCACCATTACTTTTTAAAATGCTCGAGAGTTCAATCTAGAAGTACAGAGCATTCTTTCTCCCATCTCTTAATGCACAAGTTCTCATCTCTTGTACTAACATTTTGGTGCTCCAATAAATATGGAGTTCGAGGTGTTTTACTTCAGCGAGAAAAGAAAGTATAACATTTGTTTAAGGATTTGAATCTTTGACAAATAAGCTGTACTCTAATTGCGTGAGCAAAAATAGAAAGTAGAGCAATGTAGTTATCTGCTCCTCCTAATTATGCCAATGTAGTTGCCTGCCCATGTTCAAAATATGTACTATTCGATAAAGTAGTATACATGTTCATTCAATAAAGTAGTATACGTGTTCATTCAATAAAGTAGTATACACGTTCATTCGATATAGTCTATCATTGATTTTATTTCAACAATAACAGAAATGCCAAGGTCTCTGCAAACTGTTACGAAATTTTACCACGAAATTTTACCTCCTACATTGTTGAAAAAAGTTATAACCCATCAACTTGATGTTGAATTTGGTATATTTGAAAAGATTGACGAAAATATCATCAAATTGACGTATTTAATTTTCAATTTAAGGTGATGTTACGGGAACACCTTAGTATTTTAAGATTTGATCTCTAAGTGGGTAGAAATGAATGGAGTATTTTAAGATTTGATCTTTCCATTGTTGGGCATTGGCTTCATGAAATAGTCAAGAGAAGCACACATATAGGATGAAGGTGAAAAATGGGTAAATCCAAGAACCAGAGTCTTACGGTTGGTGTCACAGTCATGCTTGTTTAATGCATGTTGCTCATGGCCGCATGCCTATTACAGGCATACTACTATGCAGTAGCAAGGGATTATGTGAGCTTCACATGCATCTCATCTAGTAGTTAAATCGTGCAGATGAATCGGACTTGAGGTGCTCATCCTCTTATCAACAGATTAGTTGCTATACAAAAACGGTACAAAACTTCAAGCCCTTTTGGTATAAAGAAAGCTCACCTATTCTAGGAAAAAAGCTCAGGAATTCTAGTACCATGTAGAAAGGGGGAAAAACTAAATAACACTTCACTCGTTTATTTTAGTAAAAGCCTTGAACTAGTAGAAAGTAGAATTACAAGTCACTAATGAGTTTCAAACAGCTAACGTATTACACATGTAAATAATAATATACTAAGAACAGTTCCAAGTCTGCCTGATGTTCCTAGTATATCACACATCTGAGTTACAGCAACATAAATTATTCATCAGTATTAAGAGAGTTCAATCATAGCAACTAGATCAGATCAGATCAGAAGTATGAAAAAACTTACTACAGTTAAAGTGAATCGTCTTAATGGAAGATTGAACAAGATAAGCAGCAGCAACATGTACCTTGATTACAGCCACAATTGAAGTCCTTGACGTGCTATCTTTATTGCCTCTTCTTCTTCAATCTTCAGCACTCAACAGTCAAGTTGCATATTTTCTAAGGAACCCAATGAAACCTGTAATCTTTTTACACAGCACGTCTTGCAATACATACCTGGGCTTTTTGGAGACGATCGACATAATTTAAACGTGACGAAAAAATAAATTAAAAAGGAAAAAGAAAGCTACCTAAATCTGAACATTTTGTATACAATAGATATAAACTTGGATATTTACAGGCAGCCCTATCAAGATACCTTGGCACTTCACTGAAATCCCAAAGAAGGAAGAAAGAAAAATGAAGAAGTTGGTAGGGCCACAAAAACTCATTTATGTTACCATAAGTATATGTTGACCCAGACTATCCCGTGGGGCCACTCTGGTGTGCAAAATATGTGCAACCAGTGTCTCTCGCCCTTAAATTATCAGAACCAGAAGTTATTCTGATCCCTACAAAATTTTTCCACAAGTGTAAGCTAAATAAAACTTCCAGAAGAAGAAGCTGAGCCACTCGACGATTCAAACCATAAAGAGATATCTGAGATCTTCAACCGTCAAGCGGGAAGCGGAACCTCCATTTTGATCTTCACCAAATGCTGATGCAACCATTTTTCTCTTCTCTTCCTGCAAAACATGGCCAGAAAGAAGAAGCATCTTCCACGTCAATATTACATGCATATCAACTTCATCTTGTAAAGCACCGAGCCAACCTCTTAGAAGATATTCAATATGCTCAAGTAACAAATTCAAAAGAATTCAGAATCAACCGAATTATTATATAACACATTGCACTGTTTAATGGTTGAAAAATTAATCAAAGCTATACAGAACCTTCAACTCCATTTACAATGAGAATTAACAACCTTTATTAAGGGACTACTTCTCCCTTCTTAGAGCTTGAAAGAGTTGACGGAATGGAGAGGCCTACAACCTGAGGGAAGACCCACTCTAACTAATGCATTCGGTAAATTAGAGTGGCTCTTTCATGGCGTGGGTTCCCCGGAGCAGAGAAACAATGCCCCCCTTCCTAATCAAGTGGCTTTGAATATTGTCCAAAAAGGAGTCAGCCCTGTGGGGCAGATACATTGGGTGGATGACCAAAATTATCAAGAAGAAAAAACACATGCAGACATTGGCCAAACTAGGCACGAGAAATTAGAATTGTCGTCAGGATGACTCGATTGCTTGCAATAAAGGTAATTAAGCTATATCTTTCTCTAGATCCATATTCTCGATAATTGACAAAAGTGCAACCATGCTAAGTCTTAGAGGACTCCTTATTCCAATTGAGCAAAAGGCATATTTGCATCCCTCCTGAACTCTATAACAAGAACTTGAACTTTAAAATAAATGAAAAGAAATGTACACTCGAAGATCTTACGGCTGAAATTCAGCATTTATATTGTAACCATGAAACTTAATGTTTAACATACATTTCCATAAACTGTGTTTTCAACAGATATAGAACTGATAATGGAAAAACAAACATAAAGCAAAAGAGACAAGGATAATACCTGCAGTGCTAGTATCCTATCTTCAACTGTGTCTTTTATAGTAATCCTTGACACTGTAACAGGACGAGTCTGTCCAATTCTATGAGCTCGATCTACAGCCTGATCCTCTGTAGTTGGATTCCACCAAAGATCCAATAGGATAACATGACATGCTGCAACCATGTTTAAACCTAGATTTCCCGCCTTCAATGACATCAACATAACAGTGATCTGCAAAAAACAATTCACCGATTCAAATATTGAAAACATCCATGCTAAAACATAATATTGTTAATTATTTCAATACCTATATCATTGCAAATCATGTAAAGTAACAAATAAACTTCCATGGTATATAATGCCCCCAACATAGAGAAGCATCTTAAATCCACCAGAATTTGTTGAAGTAGATTCAGATTAAGGGCCAAACCTCGGGGTCAGAGTTGAAATCTTTCACAGCACGGTCTCTTGAAACCAGAGTCATTGTGCCATCAAGCCTCCTATATTGTACGCAAGCCTGGTTAAGTGACATTTCTACTAAATCTAACATGCCAGTCCACTGGGAGAAAACAATCGTCTTCACAGGTTCTTCAGTTGGATTTGGACATGGAGATGCGTTCTTTGTAGTATTAACATCAGAATCACAAATCTCAATGCATTCATCTTCAGAATGTAGAGAACTTCCATTGCATCCAAAGGAAACCCCTTGTTCAGAAGTTGAAGTTGATGCTTTGCAATTGTTCTGCAGAATCTCAAGAACGGCCCTAATTTTGGACGAACTGTACTCACTATGAACAACTTGGGATTTCTCAGAAATTCCTGAACTTGTGGAACCACCATCAAGATCATCAGAGATACATTTCCGGAGGGTAGTTTTCGAGAAAACAACGTCAGCAGCAACTTGTTCCTTGCATCCAAGTGCCGGGCACATATTGTCATCGCCAGTCAAGTATTCAGACACGCATTGATAGCAGAAAACATGACCACACATGGTAACAACAGGATTCTCAGGTGGATCCTATTAGGAGGGAGGGAAAAAAACCATTAAACAGTGAATACGATAAGCCATTATTTTTGCAGCAAAAAGATTATAGAAGTCTTGTGTATCATTCCAGATTGTTTTTTCAGGTTATTTAAATGTATGCCACTTAGGATTGCAATTGAAACATGCGTATGAACACATTATAGGCATAGGATTGCATGAAAAATGACAACACTTTTTTGTTGAAGAATAGTGTGATGACAACACTTCAGCGTGATATCTACCTCTGATTTTTCTTTAAAAAAAACCCACATTGCAAATCTTGAAGATGTTTCCAACTGTTACTCAACAAAAAAATAAGAGCTTTGGCAAGAACTTATCGGGATAGATGAAAGCAAAAGGAAATTTTTGACAGTTGTGGATTGCTTGAACAATTGCAGAAATTTGATACAATAAGATAGACAATACAGTACATTCATACACAATCTATATAAGAGGCAGTTCCTTCTTAATAGTAAAATATGATTTCTAATGAATTGTCTTTATACGATTTCTAAGGAAATCATAGAAAACAAAGATAGGAAAGAATTCAGCGGAATGATTAAATTGGAGTTCTCATTGAGGGTAGGTTAATTTCTTCCAAGATGGGCCCGCTCATTTTATTCTTCTTGCGGGTTCTGCAACACTTCTTTGACTTCGCTCAATTCCTTAAGGCTCAACCCATCACTTTTGTTTGTCTCATCTTCACACTCAATTCCGTGGGGTTTGAACTTAAGGCCCGACTTAGAAGTTCGCATGGACTTTTTTGCGTGATTCCCCCCTTTGGGTTAATTCTTGATGTTTTTGAATGCTTCTTTGAAAATTAGCAATTTTAGCCTGTTCATGTTCTTTCAATTTAGATATTTTTTCCAAAGGATGCCAAATTTCATCCATTCCCTTCTGAAATTCCTCCCAATTCATTCTCTGATTCAAATACTAGCGTCTTCTTGGAAATGTTTCCGCCTCTGAATTGATGTAGAGATTCATGTGTGTTCTTGAATAGGTTTCTGCATTTCTTGGTTGTGTTTCTTAACCAAGATAATTGCTTCTGTTCCTAAACATATTGAAACATTTCATTCTTGGATGGTTCTTGAGATGTTCCTTGTTAGGGCTTTCCTATGTAATTATGTGTGCAATGTTTGGTAAGGAGCACAGCTCCTGGAT